ACTAAGTAACTGGAGATTGTCTTGTGTGTTTATCAAGTCTTTTGATTCTGAGCTCTTCTGACTACTGATAGAGTTTAAAAGCATGTTTTCACTTTAATAATTAACATTATAAGAATACTTCTGTACTTCAAAAATGCATTAGTAGTAATAGCAGCAGCAGTAGTAGTAGTATTATAAGAAAAAGCATTGTTATTATTTATAATAATAATAACAGCAATACATTTTTATAATTATTAATTGCATATTGTTATAAAAATCATCATCATCATCATAATGATAATTTAATTAAATAATAAGATATAATATTTATAAAATAATAAATTTGTTGTTATTATTATTCTTCTTATTATTATATTGTTTCTGTTATTTTATGGATCAAAATGCCCTTTTCATTGCTAGTGAAAATACAAAATCAAGCACGGATCTTCATGAAAAAAAGAAAGAAAGAAAAAAAACCCTCCAGCTGCCACATTATGTAAAGGATAAACTTGTTCCTTATTTCTATTTTCACTTGAACTGCCCATCAGGTTAAGATTTGTTAAAATGAGATTAATTTCCTGATAAACCCTCACAGTGAAGAAGTCATCAGGGTGCTTTAAATGTATTCCATGGGCAATTAAGTGCAGTGGAATTTCCTCAGCTAGGACTGATTTTGAGTGATAATGGCAGGTGAAGAGACAGATAATGAGCAGGCCAAGACACATGCGCTTACAGCTCTCTAAAATGACTTCCTGTGCTTTAACCCTGCAGTTATGAATCAACGTGTCACGCACCGCTTCTCTGACACTCTCTACTCCAAAGAAAGAGTAGTCTCGCCAAGGACAAGATGAGAGAGGGATGAAACTTTCAAATGACTGATTGCTAACCGGTATATAAACACAACACAACAGAGCGTATCGCATGTGGAGAGGATCAAATGTGTTTGGGCTGGTTTCTGTCCTGCAACAAACAAGCTCAAACTCAGACGAGAAAACACATAAAGACACACATGCACACACAGCAGTCTGCAAACACCAACGAACACCAACGAACGTGGCACAAACGGTTACCTACCCACAAATACATCATCATCTTGAGCGAGGAGTCAGGGGCTCTCCGGCAGTGAGGAAACGCTTCCTTACTTAGCTTCTTTTAACTTCTCGAGCTCGGCTACGGGAACCCGGCTGAATCCTTCTTGTTTCCACTCTCTCAGGCTCACAGTTCTTTTGTATAATTTATTATATCACTATAATAGAGCTTATTAAAACTGACACTTGGAGGAAGTAGAAGCTACTTCACAAGGTTTGAGATGCTTCTAGCAGTCTTGTTCTTGCTCTTCTTCTTTTTTTTGCTCTTTCTTGCCTTTCCCCACTTGGTCCTCCTCACCCTTTCACTGACAACCCTTGCTTAGACGCCAATTCCTGATGTATCTATTTAATGAGAAGATCCGTGCACCAAGGAAGTCCAGTACAACTGTGCACTCAAAGTGCCAGAGAAAGAGAGAAAGAGAGAGAGAGAGAGAGGGAGGAGGGTGATGGTGTAGGTTTCTCTAGTATAGGCTCCACAAGAAAGGTACATGTACGTTAACACACAGCTGATAGGACGATCCGAAACAGATCCCCCCCCCCCACAAAAAGGACTTTTCCCTCTAACAAAATGCTGCTCAGATCCTCAGACTCTGTCGTCCGGAAGCTGATGCGCAGGGGAAGACATCAGTGGGAAATCAAAAGACTCATCTTCTGTCCTGAGGGAAGGTAAGAAGACAACTGACCGAAAAAAATAAGCTTGCAACTTCCTCCAAAAAATACTGCAATCTCAGCTCTGAGAGATTCGAGTAAATAAAAAAGTGATGTGAAAAGATGTGAAAGAAAAAAAAAATACACGGGTAAACTGAGATCAAAAATTATACAACGGGATGAAAAGGAGACAGAAAGCACCTCTCTCTCCTAAATGAGGAGCTTGCACCTGATTCTGCAGCCTGGACTGGTTTTTTCCCCCCTCTTCTTCTCCTCCTCCTCGTCCGGAGTGAATGTGCTGGAGATAAAAGCAGCGTGTACTGGGGCCAAGGCCTTCCCGCTCAGGTTGCTCTGGCTCTGACGCACTGGCTGCCTCCTTACAGCATTTTCTACAGCCATCTGCTGACTCCACCACGCTACTGCTACTGAGAGACCAGACACGCAGCCAGCAGCCAGCTAAAGCGCAGCCGGAACTATCTAGAAAAGCGCATATGCGGCTTAAACTCATTACTACTGTTCAGAAGAGGAATGGGGTTTCTAATCAAACACAGGTATTAGAGAAAGTCGAGAGTAACAGAAAACAAAAAAAGAGAACCTTTTTGTAAATGGATTTCAAACCGGAAATGGAAATTTGAGCAAGGTCCATTTTTTTGTTTTATGTGTGCGAGACACAAACGCAATGAGATCTGCCAGTGTATTTACGAGGGAAATTCAATTCTGAGGGAAATTTGAATATTAAATTCTCCTCGGGAAGCAATTTGACTCCCCTTTAAAAGGAAAACAATAAAAAAAGAAAAGTACAACCGTCACAACAAGACAGAAAGAGAGTGTGAGGACAAACAATTAAGCTAAAGGCTCAAATTCAGGCCCACATTCAGCAAATACACACACACACGCATACAATATTAAAGCAATATGGCTGCATTAAAGTGATTTGCCACAGGTAAGGGATTTTCTAAGGCATAACTCAAAGCATAGACGGCACTAATGCTCAAAAAATAAATTACATTTCACAATGATAACAAATGGAATATGGTCATTCCTCTTATGCAGTGTCTTTTGAGATTTAACTCATTAAAAATGTAGTTTTTAAAAGTATTTTTATAAGCTTTTTTATTTATTTATTTTTATCTTATTTATTTATTTATAAGGGTATCTGTATTCTTATCTTAAATACTAAAATACAAAAAAAAAGCAACAAAAAAAAATCATGAAATTTATTGTTAGAACTTTTTGATTGTTTATGACTTGTTTGTTCTGTTGTTTTCTCAGCAAAAATGATGTCACTTCCAGGAGGATGATGTCATTATGGAACTGGCTTACCTTAGTTGAAGGGATATTACAAAATACTAACAGGATGGAAAATTATATTGTGGTCACAGGAAAAAAATAAACTGGTTTTTTTTTTTTTTTATATATATATAATTTCTATTTAAGAAAGGAAAAATAAAGAAACATGTATTTCTTAATGAATTAAAAGTGTTAAATATTTTATTTAATATATTAGGAGACATGGCAGGAATGACTGGCATTGACTGCTGCTCATTTCATAAGATTTTAGGGTCAGAACTATCCGACGATATTAAATAAATATACCACATTTGCAACAAGATGAAATGGTTTTCTTTCGAATGAAACGATTAGTACAGAGAGATCCGGTCAATACTCCGAACAACATTCTGAAAACAATAAATGATTGTTGACATATTAAACAAAGATAAATGGCAGGTACAATGTAAAGCCCATTGTTTGTGCACCCGAGCAAAACGAACATACTTCAGCATACAATTTCGTTAAACCATTTTACTTTGGGGCAAGAAAGGTCTAATGGTCATGGGAACTGAGTGCCGCTTATACTGACATGTCCATTTACATGGAGCAGACCGATCCAGCTGCCGTCTCCTTGCTCTGATTGTGCCCTTTAACCCAATTAAAAAGCTACAAGTCTATAATAGTAGCTAAACAGTCTTAAAGCAGTAGTGCATCTCATTTGTTTAGATTATGATAAAAACATAACCTAACCCTAACCCTAAGCTACCAAAAAGCACTTCTGAAACAACTGTCCTCAGTCTCATGAATGAGTCACTAACAAGAAGAAATAAGATGACAAAGAAATAAGAGAAGTGCTTTTCATGTTGCCAAGAGCCAAATCAGCAATGGCCTCTATAATATATATATATGTGTGTGTGTGTGTGTGTGTGGTTTTTAATGTTTTTAATATTTTCAAGAGCCAAATCAACAATAATAATAATAATAATAATAATAATACCATCATCATCATCATCATTTTAAATACATAAATATAAAAACATATAAATATATTATATATAAATAACATTTATAAATAATAGTATAATATATTTTTAAATATATAATAGTTTTTCAATATTTTCATATTTCCAAGAGCCAAATTATTGTTATTATTATTATTATGTTTAATTTGCCAAGAGGCCAATGCATATTTAACACTACATACTGTATATGTCATTACTGGTTTAGTCCATATTTACTGCTCTAATTTCAAAAGAAATGAAAAATATATGTATCATTAAAAAACAAATAAAGAAAATAGTTGCTAGGAAAATGAGAGTGATGTGTGTGTATGAATAGGAAGGTCTGTGCATTAATCATATCAGCCCTATCAGACTTAAAACCCTTCAACAAACCATGATAAATTACAGCACTGAGAGGGGACTGCATGGTGTACACATCCCTCCCATGATCCTGCAGGGCTGCACATACACACTGTGTGCTCTGTGAGCTCAAGGCAGAGCCGGCAGGACACATGGTCATCCCTCCACACAGATGTGGTGTTTCTGAAGAAGATGAAGATCTTTGGGAGGGTCCTCTCATCAGGAGTGAAGCTGACACCTTTGCTACCCTGGCTTTTCAGGCCAGTGAGTGAGCAGAAGGGTTTGAGAGCCACTATTAAAGTTTAATGAGAAGGCAAGGTAAGCTTTGTTGTATTTTTAATATGGACACAGCAGAGTATGAGGGAATAACAGGTTTCTGTATGAGAGTAAAATTGAAGGGCTTCTTTTTTTTTGCCTATTGATTTAATATGATCATCTTCTCAGCTGGAGATGCTGAAATGAACATGAAGGATACACACAAATTCATTCTAAAGTCATTGTGATGAAATAATTTTTCTTTACATGAATGAATCGCAGTTTTATGATCGCCATGGATTGATTAATTAAAAGGTCAATACCAACAACATCCAGAAGCACAACAGCGACACAAAAAGCACACAAAAACACAGACACACACAAAGCAGCACCGAAGCATCACTTACCCTGAGCTGGTCCGTATCACAACTCATTGGTTGTCCTGGAATCTGTCAACAGAGACATACAAATTAGAGTAACACATTACACACCAAATACAGCACCTCCCTTCAGTAATTACAAGTCAATCATTGAGAGCAGGCTGAGGGGAGAGAAAATGAGATCTGTCAAAACTGAGGTTTGCAACATGGAACCATGCAAAAGGTGGTGAGAGCAGGGAATAAGACAGGCAAGACATCGTTCCCATGCTAGAAATGGTACACATAACAATATTTTTATCTTTTTTTTCTCAAATAATGGGAATGGTATAGAGCAAGTGGTTCTCAACTGGTTTTGCTTCAGGTCACAGATTCTAGATTTGCATTCAAGTGGCAACCCAATACAGTACCAGGATTGTACCAAACTAAACAAATATATCCATACTGAAATCACTTGAAATCAAATTACCAGTGAATTTATATATATGATCATTTAGGCTGGCCATACACAAAAACCTATTCGAATTTAAAGGGATAGTTCACCCAAAAACAAACATTCTGTCATCATCCACTCACCCTCAAGTTGTTCCAAGCCTGTTTGAGTTTCTTTCATCTATTGGGAACAAAAAAATATATTTTGAAGAAAAACTGTTGACGGTAGCCATTGACTTGCATAGTATGGACAAAATACAATGGAAGTCAATGGCTACCGTCAAATGTTTGGTTACTAACATTCTTCTTGTTTTTGACAGAAGAAAGAAACTCATACAAGTTTGGGACAACTTGAGGGTGAGTAAATGATGACAAATTTCATTTTGGGTATCCCTTTGGGTATTATTTTGATTTAAAACAACTGTTTGTAAAGGTTCAAATCGGTAGTAAATCTGCAATTTTGTTTTAAATCTGCAATAGTTGACAAATAGTTTTTCCACTGTAACATCAATGTTACAGTCATTGGATGCGATATGCACTTTTACAAGTTGTTTGAACTGAAATGTGTGTTGGCAGTGTGTGTACACAATAGGGGTTGAACGACTTCTGTTTTTTTAAAAGTCGACTTTTATGTGATGAAAGTTGAGTCGAAGTCGACTAGTCGCTGATGACGTCATTAATGAACAAATAAGTCTGGAGCTGTGACAAACACCTTGTGCACAGCTATGGCATATGACACAGCGCTGCCCACATGGCTATTGCTCCTATAACAGCTCATTTTTATCAGTTATTTTGTATTCATCCCACCTTAAAGGGCACCTATTATGCAAAATTCACTTTCACATGTTGCTTGGACATAAATGTGTGTTGGCAGTGTGTGTACACAACCACCCTATAATGAAAAAAATCCACTCAGTGTTTTTTTTTTTATCTCGTTAAATCATTTCCCCTTTCTCAAATCAAGCCATTCTCAGATGCCTGTCTGTGTGATGTCAAAGACCCAGGCCCTCCCATGATTGTCGACTGAAACTGGTGTTTTATCTTAGACCTGCCCTGAGTGAGCTGTCATCAGTCCACCATTGTTTTGACGCCGGAGCAGATGTAGACAAGAATGTCTCCTAAGTGACTGAGGTGTTCTGTTGTTGGATGTAATAATGAACATAGCAGTCGTCTTTTACCCCCGGCATCTGAGCCGCTGAAGACGCAGTGGATTACTTTTGTTTTTGAAGGGAATGCGCAGATCCCCGATCTACCTAAATGTGTCTATGTTCGCGCAAATCATTCGTGATCCAGCCTCACCTACAGAAGAAGTGAGTATAAGGTTCTTTTATGAATCTTTGCAAATCACCTTTCCTAATAACGTGCTAGTTAGCGAGTTCCGCGGCTGAAGTAAACAGTCTCATGAGAACGGCTCGTCACCCCACAGAAGAGAGGGGCGGGGTGAGTATGGGCTTACGTTTCTGCCACAATTCTGTGCGTGCAAGATCATGTTTTGAGCGTGCTAAAGGGCATTTCGCACACGCGCGATCTGAGTTTTGTGGAGGAAATGTTTGTCTCGCAAAGAAGAAAGTATTTAGAGCGCACAAAAATATGTTAACTGCAAAAGAATTAGGAATTAAGGTGAAGAATTAGGTGTGAAATCACCAGGAACCATTTAGTCTCCAGCGCCACCATTTTCCAGAACTGCAACCTGCAGAGACCTGGAGTCTCCAGAAGTACAAGGTGTCAGGTTCTCAGAGACTTAGGTTAAGTATAGAATCAGAAAATGACCCCTACTTAATAAGAATCACATACTGAAGTGTAGTAAAATACTTGAAGACTGATTTTTTTTTTCATATAGGCTTTGTAGACTGATAAGTTGAGAGTGACTCTTGAAGGACCAGCACCACATCCTCTTGTACCACTGTTTGAAGAATTTATCTTCCAGAATCTGGCAGTAAGTTTTGGGAGTTCATTTTTAGTTCATCTCGAGATTTTATCTGTAGAAGATAACCTGCTTAATAATTATGCACACCTGAATAGAAGGCGTTTTTCACTTCCAGCCTTCATGAACAATAATATATAGGTTATAAGTGATTAAATACAAGATTAATAGCAGTTAAGATTGATGTTGTTTGGAATTGGTCAAATGTGCTTGGGAAAAATTATAATCAGAATATCAACTTGCATAATAATTATGCATGCACTGTACATTATTTTCCCACTTCCACTGTCATCAGCAATGCAAGGAATGTTGTGATTGGTTGTCAAGACAGCCAATCAGAATTTAGCAGTCTCGTCTCTGATTGGCCGGAATTATGGCATATTGTAACGCTGGGTTGTGTTGAGCAAGCAAGCCGTTGGCATTTAGAGAGCACTGAGGGCAGGCATCAGGTGCGCAAGCTAGTGAAACGTTGCATGCGCAAAAGAGAAGGACTGCACACATCCAAAAACTTATTTTAAATGCAAACTTGATTTTAGTGCGCTCTAAATACTTTTTTCTTTGCGAAACGAACATTTTCTCCACAAAACTCAGATCGTGCGCGTGCAAAATGCACTTTTGTGCTCTCAAAATATGATCTTTTGCGCGCAGAATTGTGGCAGAGATCTAATCCTATAGGTGAGCAGAGCTCATTAGCATTTAAAGGAACATGGACTAAAACAGCTTGCTGAAAACAGAGCTGATACTGACAAGGTAAAAAAGGGTGTTGTTTTACACTACCATTGAGAAATTTTAACCAAAGTATGTTATAGACTTTTCATTAAGACCCTAAAGAATCATATCAACTTGTGGAAAATGGGCATCCAATGACCCCTTTAAATGATGTGTATGTGTGAATGTATTGAAATATATTAATAAATTGCACATCACCAACAATATGCAGCTCAACTGAATTTTAAAGCCGAAATCCTCTTGAATTTTGATGGTTTCATGCTCTCGGCAGTCAATAATTTTGCACAAACTATGTTTATCAAGCAACTATATTAAATGTATTCCTTTAAACTAGTTTCGTGCATGGATTTTGAGGATGAGAGGATGTCAAGCAACCTGTTTCATGCCAGCATCTACTATCTTCACAGAAAAGAAATGTGTTTTCATCCAAACATCATAGAGTTTGACTAGATGTGCAGCCTTTGATGTCAATAACAGAAGATTACAGAAGCATTTTCTCTTAACTTTGCTAAACGAACTACATATGATTATACAGTTTGAACAATGCAAACTAATACAATCAGAAGAAATCTGCGACACATTTTTGGGTTACAACCCACCAGTTGAGAACCACCGCTATAAAGAATCAAGTTGAATTCAATTGAGCAGAGTATTTCTACATGCCTCGATGCACAGAGTTTCTCAAACACTAATCAATCATACTCAACCCTCAAAGAGGAGGGGGGAAGAAAGACATTTCTAATTTTGTTAATGCTTGTTGAGTGTTTGAAAGAGAACTACACAATTAAGAGATTAGGGTCTGGTTACGCTGAGAGGGTTCCTGGATATACCACTAATCTTTCCCTCATGCCTGCCTTCAATACATCCATAATGCACTGGCCAATCTTCATTTAAGAAATAGAATCTCTGTTACAAACGCTCTCTTCAAATGTAATGATATTAACAGTTCCACTTTCCTCTCAGCCTAAAACACTTAGCTGTTTTTCAAAGTGTGCTCATTTCCCATTAGCCAGGCCACTGAGTGAAGCCGAATAAGATTTTCATCATTTAGTAACTGGACATCACTGCAGAAAGACCCTAAAGAGGATTATGACCCACAGATAGAGGGAATAAAGGCCAGGGAAATTGCTTTGATTTGATATGATATGAGAAAAAATGGATGCATTAACCTTGTCACCTCAAAATATCTGCGTATCAAATTAGTAGTAAGACTTCCGCTGACGGTTACTCGTTGCTTTTTGGCAAACCACTCTCGACAGTAAAATGTTACGCCTTTTATGGGGAAGTTTATACTGTATCATGTGCAAAGTTTTCAATTAATAGTGAAATAAATGTAAAATGCAGGAACGACATCAGCAATTTTTTGATTGCACAGTTTAAAAAAAAAGGCTATGAACGTTTTATACAAATAAATGTTGTTTCCCTGTTAAAAAGGAAAATAAATAGGGCACCACTAGGTTTTCTTGTAGGGTAGGAATTGTATTATTTAGCGCCGCTGACCTTAATGATGGCTTACTTGTTTTGGTAGCACTTTCCTTTCAGCCAACGGCCCCTAGCAGGTCGTTAGGAGAAGCTTCTCAATAGCTCTGGGGCACATAGCATGCTTCTGGATTCAGACCGCTGGCATACGTTTTTATATATAGTCCTGTGCTGAAATCTGAAATTCAAACCATTTTTTTTTTCTTCTCTGTTATTTTTAACAAGGACTGACAACTGCTGACATTCATGGTTTGTGTTTTTATGTTATTATGTCATTATATCATCATTACGGCTGTCAATCAGATAAAAAATGTTAAGTAATTAATTTTGATACAATTACATGACATGATATGCTGATTTTACGCCATATTATTACAAAAGGTTCAAATGGTCACTGATGCTCCAGAAGGAAAAATTATGCATTAAGAGCCGGGGGTGAAAACTTCTGAATAGAATGAAGATGTGTACATTTTTCTAATTTTGCCTAAATATTTTTACATCTGTGTGGATTG